TTAGACGGGATCCCTTTCGCAAGGGAGGAGGAGGAACAGACAGCTGACTCAAGGACGACTGACCGGGTACTTCGAGTTGCTCCAGCCGAGTGCCTTCTGTGCTTGGAGGTAGCTCCGCGGGCTGGGACAGACTGGGGCAGTAGGCGAAGGCCATAGGCTTGAGCGCCAAATGGGAAGTTGAGGCAGGAATGATGTGTCGGAGGGGACGTGAGACTAGTCCATTGATGAGGGGACGCGGTGAAGTCGGCACGTGAGTGTCTTGTTCAGGCGACAAGATGCTTGCTGCCTCCATTGCCTGTTGGCAATGGAAGGCAGACCTAACAGAAGTAAAGGGAGGTGATACAGTCATTTGTGTCGAATAGGGTATGCGGTCAGAGGTCATATGACAGGCCTGGTGTGCAATCCGTTCGCCGTTGATCGGACTTCCAGCAGTACTGAGGAACAAGACAGAAGTAGATTCAAGTTAAATAGGAGAGAAAATGAGCACTTAATCAAAACGTTGAGAGAAATGACTCGACACTTTAAAAGGCGTGTCAAAAACTTTTTACCGATGTATCCATTAGATCAGAATAATTTCATGCTATACGGAATGCTGACTGAGCAACCAGTAAATGTGCATCAGTCAACCTGTCGTCATGTTCTTGGGATATATATGTGCCTATGCTTAAGCCTGGAATTTACTCAAAACCGACATTAGATAGAGAAGTCATGTTGGGTCTCTGGCCGGGCAATCAATCACAAACTAATATACTCTGATTGGTTGTCGGATCCAACGTTTGGATTGGATAGCTTCCTGCGTTAGGTGATAGAGGTGAGGTTGACACGAGTGCAGGAATCGTGAAGGCATTTAAATCAGGGCATGTGTCTAAATGTATTTAAGCAAAAGTGGAACATCAGAAAAAAAGTGACTATCAGTTAAATCAAACTACACGAAATTACAAGGTATAAATGTGTTTACCAAATGAATTTATGTGTAATTTAAAATTAAATCACATCTCATATGTCATACCCTATCAACCACGTATTCTCATTAAGTCTCACTACTCATACTACTGTCAGGAAGGTTAGAAGAGGCCGGGCCAAAGTGATGGTAAAACGTTTCCACCAGGATTAACGCTAAAAGGAACTGCTACCACTACTACCCGATCTGGCCAGCATTAAGCATAAGTCGAGAAGTTGATTATCCAAAATACACTCAAATTAGAAGGGATTACGGAAGGGGCAGACATTCAGGCTGCATAAATGTTCTGACAGACTCATACCTTAAGGAAAGAAGAAAAGATAACCTTTGGTAACAATAGAAAAGGAGACAGAGTTTAACTAAGCAAGTGGGAAGTTACAGCTCATAGCAAAAAGATCTTTGCTAGCATAAAGTTAACTGATGTGGAAGAAATTAATATTTCTCGACAAAAGGCCATTTCAAGCATGCTTGAAAATAGCCAAATTCAATGTTTAGATATAAAAATAAGAGGAAATATTAGTGTAGCTTTGAAAAATGGACAAAGCACAGGAATTTATAGATTGACTTAACCCAACAATTATTCATGGGGTACAAATTACCTAGTGCTTCATATGAGTACACCTAGGATACTCACCTTGGCTCAACGAGAGTGTTCGATTTTGTTCACGTTAAGAATTGGCTTAAACTATACTAACAACGATGAGAATAAACTGCATATGTAGCTCTTAGTGAAAGCGATTTCTTATTGTACCTATCAATAATACGATTAATCTTTTGGTATGACAGCATTCACCATTAGAACAATCTGAAAATCAAAGGAAAAATTTCAAAGTGTCCTCCACCGATTAAATTTTAGTCCCATCAATGACAGCAGGATTGCAGTTTTGGATAGCCCAAAATAGCAAAGCACTATGATAAGTTAAATTTTGATTTATATCTTAACATTAGCTTCGGCTCCAGAAATAGGGTAAGAGTAAGGCTAGGTTAATTTCATCAATAAATAGCTTCTTGGAGGTTACTGTCTCAAACGAAGCTGATTTAAGAGCCGAATTAGTAAAATATAAAACCCTTAATTCTGGCGTAACTTCAGCTTCCAAATGAAAATTGGACACTGACAAGCTTAAGAATTTCATAATGGTAATGATGAAGCCATCATGGACTTTCGTTTGACGAGTCACTGGTAAATTGGTAAATTTATACACCAACTGGTGGTGACTCGGATTGTGGTGTTTAATTTCAAAATTGCAGTGATATGCTATTAGTGAACTTTAGCTCATAAAGCCTAAAGCATTAAAAAAATACACCAGTATTTGTACGGTCTGACAGGCATTGGTACTTGAACAATTTACTGTAGAAAAATCCCCGCCACATTTGGGAATTAAAAAGGCTTGTCTTGCCTGAAGCACATACCTGCCTCACTATCTGACGGCGCTTTGACATAAGACACGGAAGATAACTTATTTCACCCTAACCCTTGCCTCTAAGCTCAATTCAACCTAATGATATCAATGAGAGTGAGATAAAGTTGAAACTACATTCTGACAAGGATAAGAACTAAATCTTTTATTGCCAAGCACAATTAAGTTCAGATTAAAATTTAAGAACAACTGTCTTCCTCATCATATCAAAATCTATTTAGCATTAATAATCTGGTCTACAGTGGTTGTGACCTATGCGGCTATTAAGTTTAGAAAAGAAATAAAGAATAAAGATCTGCTTAAACTGGTTTATAAATGATTATTTTTCGTATATAAGTAATGTTTTGTCGATTATTATGGTAAAAATACGTTTGCTTCATCGGCAATCCCACTAAAAGAATGTGATATATGGCCTTCCTTGAAATTCACATCGGTCCTGTAACCCAAGGGCACTCGTGGCAATGTGGCCGAGTAGTTGAAATTTCAAGCTCACATGTTGCACTGTCACGGTTCGACTCCAGCCGGGGATGTTGATAAGACCTATACGAGATCGAAACTGCAGTCCACTCTGAATGAAATCAACTTTTGGGAAAGCAAAGCTCTGTGAAATTCAATGGAAACGTCAGCTATACTCATATCATTGTGAGAAAATTCTACTACCAGTCCTTCATCACTTAAATGAAATATGGTGTATACATCTTATAAATGTTTAGCCTAAAAGTCGACTAAATACTATGATAAAGAGTCAACCGTTGAGATAAGTCTCATTTGCTGCGAAAATGTTTTGAAGAGGTTCATCGGTCGATCTTACTAGAAAGCAACGGATGATTGTACTTGTTCTGCTGTTGGTTAAATTATTTGAACTTCCAGGCTGATAGTCTTCGAAAAAGCCTCCTTCGGTTTCGAAAAAATGTGAAGGCCATGCGTCCCTCTTGTCAGACAAGATCAGGTTTGTAATTGATTATTCTGACAGTCATTTCATTAATCCCAGAGCGGATAAAGAGGAAAATAGATTCGTTTATTAAAATTCTATAATATGACCCTCAGTTCGAATCACGTGAAGTTAACTACAGCCAACAAACATAAATTTATAAAATATAATAAATTCATCTAATGCGTACACCGATTTTTGCTCTAGGGGTAGCAAAGATAGAACCATTCACTCAAATTATTAAATTGAAGAGTAAGCGAAAAATGTACTAACTTTCATGAGTTTGTATTAGTATTAGATGCTTAATTTACTTTGAGCATTAGCTTACAACGTGCATAATATCGAGTAAAGCTGATACAGTCGTAAATAAAATGCCTTGGCTAAATAAAATATTGTGCACACTCATGAGTAAAAGGTGCTTTCCCGCTCAACAAAATAAAATCTTCATTAATTTCCTGAAAGCCTCTTGTGAAGTGATTAGACATTCTATGCATTATTAAGTTTTCCTGCCTCTACTCACATTCTAATGGATCCGATCGACTCAGGCAGCCTACGTTGTCTGAGAAAGTGAATTATTCAAAGTTTTACTACAAATCTGGAGAAAAGTTAAGGCCTCACCATAAATTAGCTATTGGTAATCTAATCCATTTGTAGTGGGCGATTAGGCACTTTGGATAAACGGCAACAACCTATCCTAACGAGAATGCCCGGGGAAAACACGTAGAGTATATGATGACAAATATTTTAATGTAGCCTGCATGGACTTTAGCCTCGCTAACAGCATTATGTCCCTATGATGTGTACGTTTTAAGCGCAATTTTTAAGCATAGCTCAGGCCTGAGCGCAATATCAGGTATTACAAGTCACCATCTTCAGCTAATCTGAAATCCAATATAATCAACTTTTTAATCTGCAATGTCTTAATGTATAATGAAAATATAAAAACGGACCTGAGTGCATCAACCATGACCTAGAATTTCATCAAGTATGCATTTATATTGATTAGTAAAACTATAATAAAAGCTCAAAATGTATTAATTTATACTTATTAGTACGTTCAAAGTTGTGCTAACATAATTTATCGATATCCGGCTGCTACACGATTATTTGCTCATGTGGTCGACGTTATGTTGGTGAGACATGGAGACCTATTCGACAAAGATTGGTAAAACATAAAAATGCTTGCAAAGGTAGCTGGATCCAATGGTCAGACGTGGCCGAACACATGGTAGAAACTAGACATGAAATAAAATGGTCTCAAACTAGTAGGTTTGCTGATTATGGTACGTCTATGGTTGAAAGAAAGATAAGAGAGGCTATTGAAATTAATAGCTTAGGAAATACGTTGAATGTGAAGAACGGTG